GGAAAATCAAAAGGATTAGACTTCCTCACTTTTTCTCTTCCGATTCTTCTCATTGCTTACTCTGCTCAATAATATTTCAAGAAAGATCAGTGTGCATCCACATGAAGCTATTTTTAAGTTAAAAAATATTTATGCCTATATCTTGTACTCTGGGTAACTACTTTGAATACAACATTATGTAATATTTTCTTGTTATTCTCATATTTTGTTGTGAAATTTTGTTTGATTTGCTATTTTTTTCTTAGGTCAGCTTATCTCAGATGGAATGGTGGGTGAACTACTAGGAACATGGAAATCCATTTCATGTGAAAATTTTGAAAAATATATGAAAGAGCTGGGTAAGCCACGTTTGTCTGCCCATCATCTCCAGTACTAACAAGAGTTTCAAAGGCACATAACAGACTTGGTAGAAAATAAGGTGAACTTTCAATCCTTTAATTTTTCACATAGAAAAACACAAATGTTCATTTACCACCAAAGTTTAGTTCATACAAAACTGTTGGAATTGACTTAATCTTTTGTTCAGTTTACTATGGATTTATATAAACATAATATGCATCCACTACTTACTAAACAGTAATTTTAACAAGTAACTTAAAACAAAAGCATGATTGTTTTTAAATAATTACTTTATAAATATTTGCTCTGACCTTCATAGAATCTTTTAAGATACATCTTTTTCAGCTTCTGCTAGTTGATTGGTATTCCCTGGTGTGTGACCACAACATTCCAATTCTTGTTCCTATTCTTGTTCTGTCTTCTTCTATTATCTTACATGTTTTCCCTCTTTTTATAAGGAAACTTTTGATTACATTTATAGTAGGTTTCAGTCTGATAATCCGTGATAATCTCTCCCTCTCAAGGTTCATGGATTAACTGCAGTTGCCAAGTTTCCCTTGGCACAGTGAGTAGCATTCACAGGTTCCAGGAATGCTGCACATCTTATAATCATGTTTTACAACCACATTGTAGTATTTCTCCACTACTGTATCTTCTCTTAGAAATATACCGTAGGCAAGAAGAAAAGCTAGAAAACATGGCAGGGGCAAAACCATACATTTATATACACAAGACAGCTAAGGCAATGATCCTGAGAATCTCCATCAGGTTTTTGAAACTAGAACTTAATTGGTAGGATTCTCACCCTGACTAACTATATATGCTGATACCTGTGAGCTAAGCAACTGCACTGAAGATAGCAATGTGTAATTCTAGGGCCATGCTTAGAATCTGTCATTCTGATCTTCTAAAAGCGTTCTGCTTCTAATGTCATATCAATTACTACTATACTCTCTCTAAAGTAAATGTTTACTTAATAAAAAAGAGGTAATGAATGAAAACAAGAGACAAGAAAAAATGTCTTCGGACTGTCCTGCTATAATGTTGTATATGATTAAATTTCTAAATTTCAGTGTAAAAATTTGTAATTGTTTATTTCTGGGGTTTTTTTTTTTTACTATTTTTTATCTTTTAATTTTTTCACATTCTGTAGGGATATAAAGCTTAGTGTATCAGTGATTGATGGAAAATACCAGTTCCATGTTATATCTAAGGCATTTGATATTCAGACAGATATCAATGTCAACAGCCTATGTTTTACAGTAATAATATCATTAAGCTTCTCTTCTGGAGGGTTAACAACTTAAGTTTGCAGA